AAAAAGCATAAATCTATCTCTTCACCCCTCACTTCCAGCCTTGGGTTAAATAACAAGCTATATTGTGTTCTTCAGCCTTGGCTACGAACCATTCTAGAAGAAATAAAACTATAATTTCAAACCAATGGAGAATGCAATAGAGAAACCAATCTGACATCTTTCTTAAGAAATTATAGCAATTCAGAGATTAGAAAAAAAAACCGAATCTGTTGGTAAATATCTCTGTTAAAATGAAATGTCAGTGTTATTTTCATTTTTGCGTAATTTAGACGACAATTTATCTATCGCACCCTATACATATTTTGCCATGGTCAGTTAAGATAGGCTACAGGAAATACCCCGTCCATTACTAGTGATCTGCTTGTCAGTTGCCTGACTATAATCCATTGCGCATGCTCCGCCGGGCTGATGCGCAGCACTGTACATGTGTATTTGGTGGGTATAGTTGCAAGTTTTTTTTTTTCTTAACGTTTGAAGCCTGAGTCAATCGGAGAGTCACATCTAACTACTTGGGAACACCCTCAATCAGACAATGGGTTACCTGACCTGGTGGTATTTCTAACTGGGCTCAACCTGCATTGTTTTTGTTTAGCGGCATATCATGCTCTGAACAGGGACTACTTCGCACGTAAGTATAGATACCTGACTCCATTTTATACCAAGCTGCCGCATATACGTTGTCCGCCCGAGATTCAAAACGTTGGTATTCCCTTGACACCAATAGTCAGCTTCAGGGACTCAGCATACTACGAGTTGATCAGATTTCTAGTGGGTATAGTCAGTCCACAAACAGGGAAGTCCTCATCCTATGTTAGAAAGTCAGAACACCGTGAAAATGATCCAAACGGCTCCCATCCCTAACAATCAGATGCGGGGCTTAGATGTGTTAAGCCTGTCCACCAAAGTTTTTACAGATAAACCCTGAGAGTGGTTCGAAACCGATTGGAATCAAACCCCTCTCTGAGAGAACGTACTAACATTTCAATAGATAATCTAATGGAAATGTTGACGCTCTGTGTACAGACAACATTCTTCCAGCTGACATACCAACAGGGAAGGCTAGGCAATGGGTCCGCCACTGTCACCAGTCAAGGCAAGCATATACACGCAATACTTCAAGGAAACGACTTTAGAATCGGCACCACTGAAGCCAACAGTATGGCTAAGATGCGTAGATGACATCTTCATACTCTTCATACGGAGAAATCACTGCTGAGTAAAGCCTAACATGGGGAAATGATTATGACGAAAAATTACGTATGCTCGATTCCTTACAGTTGTGACAGAGACTATAATGGTGAAACAAGCCGCCTCTAAAAGTAAGATTGAAGGAACAGTGAAAAGCCGCAGTGAGCGGCGAGACAATGAAATCTGGTGTGGCTGATCATATATGGAAAGAAAGGGGTGGTTATCAGTCACTGTGGGATGAAGCGAAAATACTGAACAGGGAAGAACACTCGAGAGTTAGACTTCTGAAAGAATCAGCGCATATGCTAGGCTATGAGGACCTCCTTAGTAGGCGTAGCGTTGAAATAAATACAATATGGGAGTCGTTAATAAAAAAAATAACTCTCAGCAAGTCTAAAACTGCAGCGGTAATCCAAAATATTAAAAGCAGCATCAGTGGCAGCCTAATCAGCAATAAAGGTTATGTTTAAAGCTCTAAGTTGCGGGAGAATGGCCTAGTGGTTAAAAGCGTTGGCTTGGGAATTTGCTAACGTAGTAATTATGAGTTCAATTCCTGGATCAGGCAGTGTGTATCTGCATTCAGTGGAAAACGAGCCAGCAATAACTAAACAGGGTTAAGTAAAATAGGAAGTAGATGATATCCCTAGATGGTGGAACGAGAATTCCCGTAGATTAAATGAAGGGTGCAGTTGTAGGTTACCATGTTCACCTGAGAAAGGCCGGGTGAGGGGGCAACGGCCGAAACGTTGTGATAAAAACTTCAAAGATGTGGACCATTAATTGTAGAAATGTTTTATTTATTTATTTATTTTTTTTTTTAGATAAATATTTTTTTTTTTTAGTGATACAAGTTTTACTAATTAACCCATAGCTAGGGGAAAAGCTGGATTCATACAATTTCCAAGGGTATTTGCACGAAAGTAACGAACCCAACTGGAATTGGAACTCCGCTCTGCGATTCGAACCATTATCCGTTATACCGTCCGAACACCCACACTTACAGCATTTGGTATTCTCAAGCGTTCACCTATTGACGTATTGACTAGGATCGACAAGGTTATGCGATGCCTGTGATTATATCTCGCATATTTGGCTGCTGTGCATGTGCCTGCTATAAGGGATATATGAAACGGCGGCTTAGCTGAAACATTATTATGATGAGGATTTTGCTTCCATCTTGTGATTGCTTTTGCTATAAGCTTTCTCTCATGCCAGTAACAAGTCACTTCAGATCTTTATCTACTTTACAGAAATGTTTGTGTCTTTGTTTTTGATATATCCCCGTAAAGGGATATATTTGATTGAAGTAGCTAAGTTGTTTTGGCTACTGTAATCAAGTAGTACACGGTAGCAGTAATCGACTGGTACCCGTCATAGTCGCAGGTAATAGGTGTAGACCAATAGGATAGCCAATGGCGTAGTCCAATGGGCATCGTCATAGACTTAAACTCTGTCGGATCAACACGTCCGTCTGTATTTATGACGGATACCAGCCAATCATATTCCAGTGAGGGGGAACACAGGTGTATGCATATTCCATGATATATATATATATATATATATATATATATATATATATATATATATATATATTGATATGTCCGGAAAGGGATATATTTGAACGAAGTAGCTAAGTGGGTTTGGGCTACTATAAACCAAGCAGAATACGGCAGCAGTAATCGACTGGTACGCGTCGTAGTCGCAGGTAAGAAGTGTAGATCAATGGCGTCGTCCAATGGGCGTCGTTATAGACTTAGCTCTCAGACTAAGGCTCTTGACTCTCCTACACGTCCGTCTGTATTTATGACGGACACCAGTCAATTATATTCCAGTGAGGGGGGAAAACAGGGGTATGCATATTCCATCATATCAGTTTTCATCTTAAAGGAAACATTTTCCTTGTTAGAAATATTCATTTTTTGCAGTTAAAGAACTACTGTATATACTCGCCTATCATGCGACTTCTCAAGACCTAATTTGGAGAGGGTCGCATCATACACGAGATATAAAATAAGCGTATGTAGTGCTGGCCCTGGCTACCCCGTTGACCAAACTATATATCCATTTATTGTAGTCAAAAAGTACAGCTGTATTTAAAATAAACATAACCTGGACAAAACTGTTGTTTTACTTAACTGTATCCAATAATAATGCATGTAATATTCGCATATTAGTATTGTACTATAAAAGACAAACATAGTGAATATGCATCTTTTCCATTGTTTACGTTTTATAAGATGTCTAACTGTTTTTCGTTCGGTTGTTTATGTCTGTACACATGTACGCAATGAGTATAGAGTTATTAATGATACTTTTAGCATTCTCTTTTACATTTTAACTTATTGTTGTGGTAGGATCCACCTAATTTGCATAGTGGAGTACCGACCATATAAATATGGTTGGTACCGGGAAGAGAGGGAAGGAATCAAGAGATTCAACCAGAGACTCTGCCCGACTGAGACTCAGTCAACACATTCTCCAGGAATGGTCTTACCAGGAATATACAAAAGACTCTATGTAAATATTGTGTACACTTTCTTGTTTCAATACATTTTGTTCTAAGTACATTTTGTGTTGCATTATTATTCCATGCATTAGTCAAGTTCAACACTTATTTAACTAGAAAATGGAATAAAAACATAGAGAAAAAGAGGTTAGTCCATTGTAATTTGGTCTCTCTTAAAAGAAACTCACATTATACACTAGATACATAAAATTATTTTTAATTTTATATGTACTGCTGGCTCTGTCTACAGTACACTGTTGACCAAACTATATAAATCCATAAACTGTAGTAAAAAAGTACAGCTGTATTTAAAATAAACATGATTTTCATAAAACTGTTGTTTTACTTAACTGTATCCAATAATAATGCATGTAATATTCGCATATTAGTATTGTATTTCTAAAAAAGACAAACATAGTGAATATACATCTTCTCCATTGTTTACGTTTATAAGAAGTTTAGCTGATTGCTACTGTTGTCTATGCTGTACGCATTTATGTAATGTTTATAGTGTTACTAACGATATTTTTTTACTTCGTTGGATTTTTTAATCATTTCACCCCAATCAAGGTGAGATGCCACTAGAACGCAAGGGTTTACAGAGAGTGTGACCAAGAGTAAAGAGGCGTGAGAGAGGAAAGGGTGAAGAGAAGAAAAAGGGAATAGATCAAGGCATCTGGAGATGTCAATTGACATTACATTTGAATAGTCGGAGATTATAGCTGTCCCGGAAGCAAATAAGAGGAAGGGAATTTCACAGACGGGAGGTGCGAGACATGAAGCTATTGGAGTAGAAGAGACGGCTACATTTAACCGTTTTGGCAGTGAAAGCGTGGGGCCAAGATGGCAGCCTAGTTGCACATTTAAATTCACGCAATTTGAGAACTAGAGAAAGTGGCTCGTCGGAGCAGTTATCGTGAAGGTATCTGTAGAAAAAACAGAGGGAGGCGACGGCACGTTTACTTTTTTTAATTCATCTATGTTAACTCGAAGATGAGATAAAGTGATAGAGGAAAAGAGGTTTGTCTATTGTAATTTGGTCTCTCAAAAAGGAACTCGCATGATACACGAGACACATTATAAAAATTTTTTTTATAATTAAAATTTTGGGGTCGCATAATACGCGAGATCTCGCGTTACACGAGATCACGCGTTATACGAGATCACGCGTTACACGAGTATATACGGTAATTAGTTTATGTTGTAAGCGAAAGAAGAAAAAAAGATGAAGAAAGTAAAAAAACAAAGAGAATCTGAGACTCCTGCTGTTCTATAATATTTGTGTTATACTAAATATAGCAACTGTTTACGGGTTGGGGTAGTGTAAAATAAAAAGTGAGAAAGAAAAAAGTGAGAAAGAACATGTGGAAGTGGGGAGTAGGAGTGTAGAAGAAAATGAAATAAAAGATTTTAAAGACGAAATCGAAGATTCGAAGAAAAAGAGACGTGGAAGAAGTAAACATAAAATAAAATGAAGTAACATAGCAAGGATAATGAAGGGAAGAAGAAGAAGAAGAAGAAGAAGAAGAAGAAGAAGAAGAAAGATCTGGTTTAAAAAGAGACAGACAGACGGACAGAGTTTAGGACAAAGAAGAAGAAAACATGCTGAACAGAAATAGGAAGGACAAAAGAAAAAAAAAAAAAAAGAACTGAAGGAAAAAACTACATTGAAGAAAAAGAGGAAGAACAAAAGAAGAGGTTGAATAAGAGGGAGATAAGAAGAAGAAGAAGAAAAAGAAGAAAAAGAAGAAGAAGAAGAAAAAGTGTCCTTTTCTTCCCTTTTCTTAAAAAAAGAAGAAAAGAAAAGAAGAAAAAGAAGAAGAAGAAAAAGAAGAAGAAGAAGAAGAAAAAAAGAAGAAGAAAAAGAAGAAGAAGAATAAAATGAAGAAGAAAGAAGAAGAAAAGAAAAGAAGAAGAAGAAAAAGAAGAAAAAGAAGAAGAAAAGAAGAAAAAAGAAAAGAAAAGAGAAAAAGAAGAAAAAAAAGAAGAAGAAAAAAAAGAAGAAAAGAAGAAAAGAAGAAGAAGAAAAAAGAAGAAGAAGAAGAAGAAGAAAAGAAGAAGAAAAAAAGAAGAAGAAGAAGAAGAAGAAAAGAAGAAGAAGAAAAGAAGAAAAAGAAGAAGAAAAAAGAAGAAGAAGAAGAAAAAAGAAGAAGAAGAAGAAAAAAAAGAAGAAGAAGAAAAAGAAGAAGTATAGAAAGAAGAAGAAAAGAAGAAGAAGTTTAAGAAGAAAAAGAAGAAGAAGAAGAAGAAGAAGAAGAAGGAGAAAACTTAATGAAAAAATATGAAGGTTAAAAGAGAAACCGGTCTACAAGAAAATGAGACATTCTGAAGAGAAATATGAAGAAGACAAAATGAAATGAAAAAGAGAAAGATTTTTAGAATAAAAGAAGTACGAGAAGAAGAAAAAAGAAGCGACGTAATGAAGAAAAAAAAGAAGATATAAGAATGAGAATGAGAAGGAAAAAAAAGAAAAGAAGAAAATACATAATGAAGTGAAAAAAACTTCTAAAAAGAAAATATGGAAGAAGAAGAAGAAGAAGAAGAAGAAGAAGAAGAAGAAGAAGAAAATCGAATTAATGAAGAAAAAGGGGGAGAATAGCTGGAATAAGAGGGACAAGAAGAAGAAAAAGAAGAAGCGACAATGAAGAAAGGAGAAAGAATAATTTGAATAAGGACAAGGAGAAGAAGAAAAAGTAGAGACTTAATGAAGAAAAAGAGGAAGAAAAGCATGAATAAGAAGAAGAAGAAGAAGAAGACGAAGAAGAAGAAGAAGAAGTGAAATAATGAAGAAAAAGAAGATGAATATGTTGAATGAGGAGGACAAAAAGGAGAAGAAAAAAGAAGCAACGTAATGAAGTAAAAGAGAAGGAATAATTTGAATAAGAAGGACAAAAAGATGAAAAAAAGAAGCGACTTACTGAAGCCAAAAAAGTAATAATAGCTTGAAAAGAAGGACAACAAGAAGAAGAAAACGAAGAAGAAGAAAAAGAAGAAGAAGGATAAGCGAATTAATGAAAAAAAGAAGAGAATAGATTGAATAACAAAGGACAAGAAGAAGAAAAAGAAGACGTGACTTAATGAAGGAAAAGAAGAAGAATATCTTGAATAAGAAGGGCAAGAAGAAGGGCAAGAAGAAGAAAAAGAAGAGATTTAATGAAGGAAAAGAGAAAGAATAGCTCGAGAAAGAAGGACAAGAAGAAGAAAAAGAAGTGACGTAATTAAGAAAAAGAATAGCTTGAAAAGAAGGAAGAAGAAGAAGAAAAAGAAGAAGCGATTTAACGAAGAAAAATAGGTAGAATAGCTAGAATAAGAAGAAGAAAAAGAAGATGCCTCTTAATGAAGAAAAAGAGGAAGAAATAACTTGAATAAGAATGACAAGAAGAAGAAGAAAAAGAAGAGGAAAAACTTGAAGAAAAATAGGAAGAACAAAAGAAGAAATAAAGAAAAAGAAGAAGCGACTAAATAAAATAAATGTGGAAGAATAGCATGAATAATAATAATAATAAGAAGAAGAAGAAGAAGAAAAAGAAGAAGTGGAGGAAGAAGAAGAACTTGCTGAATAGGTAGTTCGAAAGAAGAGAAAAGGAAGTGAAGAAAAGGAGTAACCGATTTACTGATGAAAAAGAGGAAATATAGCTACAATAATAATAATAATAATAAGCAGCAGCAGCAGAAGAAGAAGAAGAAGAAGAAGAAGTGGAGGAAGAAGAAGAACTTGCTGAATAGGTAGTTCGAAAGAAGAGAAAAGGAAGTGAAGAAAAGGAGTAACCGATTTACTGATGAAAAAGAGGAAATATAGCTACAATAATAATAATAATAATAATAATAAGCAGCAGCAGCAGCAGCAGAAGAAGAAGAAGAAGAAGAAGAAGAAGAAGAAGAAGAAGTGGAGGAAGAAGAAGAACTTGCTGAATAGGTAGTTCGAAAGAAGAGAAAAGGAAGAAGAAAAGGAGTAAACTGATTTACTGATGAAAAGAGGAAATATAGCAATAAATAATAATAATAATAATAATAATAAGCAGCAGCAGCAGCAGAAGAAGAAGAAGAAGAAGAAGAAGAAGAAGTGGAGGAAGAAGAAGAACTTGTTGAATAGGTAGTTCGAAAGAAGAGAAAAAGGAAGTGAAGAAAGAAGTAAACTGATTTACTGATGAAAAGAGGAAATATAGCTACAATAATAATAATAATAATAATAATAATAATAAGCAGCAGCAGCAGAAGAAGAAGAAGAAGAAGAAGAAGTGGAGGAAGAAGAAGAACTTGCTGAATAGGTAGTTCGAAAGAAGAGAAAAGGAAGTGAAGAAAAGGAGTAACCGATTTACTGATGAAAAAGAGGAAATATAGCTACAATAATAATAATAATAATAATAGAAGAAGAAGAAGAAGAAGAAGAAGAAAGGAAGAAGAAGAAGAAGAAGAAGAAGAAGTGGAGTGGAAGAAGAAGAACTTGTTGAATAGGTAGTTTAAGCAGAAAGAAGAAGAAAAAGGAAGTGAAGAAAAAAGGAGAAAACTGATTTAAAGATGAAAAAGAGGAAATATAGCTGATTTACTGATGAAAAAAGGAAATATATAATAATAATAATAATAATAAGCAGCAGCAGCAGAAGAAGAAGAAGAAGAAGAAGAAGAAGTGGAGGAAGAAGAAGAACTTGCTGAATAGGTAGTTCGAAAGAAGAGAAAAGGAAGTGAAGAAAAGGAGTAAACTGATTTACTGATGAAAAGAGGAAATATAGCTACAATAAAAATAATAATAATAATAATAAGCAGCAGCAGCAGCAGAAGAAGAAGAAGAAGAAGAAGAAGAAGAAGAAGTGGAGGAAGAAGAAGAACTTGCTGAATAGGTAGTCTGAAAGAAGAGAAAAGGAAGTGAAGAAAAAGGAGGAAGAAGAAGAAAGAACTGAGTTGAAAAAAAGAGGAAGAAGAAAAAAAAAAAAAAGAGGAAAAATAATAAGGAAAAAGAAAGCAGAAGAAGAAGAAGAAGAAGAAGAAGAAGAAGAAGAAGAAGGAAGAAGAAGAACTTGCTGAATAGGTAGAAGAAGAAGAAGAGAAAGGAAGAAGAAAAAAAAGATTTGAAGAAGAAAAAGAGGAAAAGAAGTAAAATAAGGAATAATAATAAGGAAGAAGAATAAAAAAGCAGCAGAAGAAGAAGAAGAAGAAGAAAAAGAAAGAAGTGGAGGAAGAAGAAGAACTTACTGATGAATAGGTAGTTCGAAAGAAGAGAAAAGGAAGAAGAAAAGGAGAAGAAAGAGAAAGAAGAAGAAGAAAAAAAGGAGGAAGCCACAATAATAAGAAGGGGAAGAAGAAATAAGAAGAAGAAGAAAGAAAAGAAGAAGAAGAAGAAGAAGAAGAAGAAGTGGAGGAAGAAGAAAAACTGATGAATAGGAAAGTTCGAAAAGAAGAGAAAAGGAAAAGAAAAGAAGAGAAAAAGGAAGAACTGATGAAAAAGAAATGAAAAAAGGAAGAAAATAATAATAATAATAATAATAAGGCAGCAGAAGAAAAAGAAGAAGAAGAAAAAAGAAGAAGAAGAAGAAAAGAAGAAGAAGAAAAGGAAGGAGGAAGAAGAACTTGGAAGAAGAAAGAAAGAAAAGAAAAGAAGAAAAAAGGAAGAAGAAGATTTACTGAGAAAAAAGAGGAGGTAAGAAGAAATGAAATAAGAAATAATAAGGAAGAAAAAAGAAAGAAGAAGAAAAGGAAGAAGAAGAAGAAGAAGAAGAGGAGAAGAAGAAGAACTTGTTGAAAGGTAGAAAAAGAAAGAAGAGATGAAGAAAAGGAGTAAGATTTACTGATGAAAAAGAGGAAATAAACAATAATAATAATAATAAATAATAAGCAGCAGCAGCAGCAGAAGAAGAAGAGAAGAAGAAGAAGAAGAAGAAGGAGGAAGAAGAAGAACTTGCTGAATAGGTAGTTCGAAAGAAGAGAAAAGGAAGTGAAGAAAAGGAGTAAAGGAAGATTTACTGATGAAAAAGAGGAAGATAGAAGAAATAATAATAATAAGATTAATAAAAGAAAGCAGAAGCAGCAGCAGAAGAAGAAGAAGAAGAAGAAGAAGAAGAAGAAGAAAGGAAGAAGAAGAATTTGGAAGAAGAAAAGAAAGAAAGGAAGTGAAGAAAAGTAAAAACTGATGAAAAAGAAGAAAAAGGATAAGGAAGAAGAAATAAAGAAGAAGAAAAGAAAAGAAGAAGAAAAGAAGAAGAAGAAGAAGAAGAAGGAAGAAGAAGAACTTGCTGAAAGAAGAAGAAAAGAAAGGAAGAAGAAGAAAAGGAGTAAGGAAGATTTACTGATGAAAAGAGGAAATATAGCTACAATAATAATAATAGGAATAAGAAGAAAAAAGAAAGAGCAGAAGAAGAAGAAGAAGAAGAAAAAGAAAAGGAAGAAGAAGAACTGCTGAATAGAAAGGAAAGAAGGAAAAGAAGAGAAAAGAAAGGAAAAAGGAAGAAACCGAGGAAGAAGATGAAAATAATAGGGAATAACAACAAAAGAAGAAAAGAAGAAGAAGAAGAAGCAAGGAAGAAGAAGAAGAAGAAGAAGAAGAAGAAGAAGAAGAAAAAGAAAGAAGAAGAAGAACTTGATTGAAGAGAAGAAATGAAAGAGAAAAGAAAAATAAAAAAAGAAGAAGAAAAGAAGAAGAGAAGAAGATGAAGAAAAGAAAAGGAAGAAGAAGACTGAAGAAAGAAAAGAAAAGAAGAAGAAGAAAAAGATTTATTGAAGAAGAAGAAGAAATAAAGAAGAAGAAAATGCTGAAAAAAAGAAGTTCGAAAGAAGAAAAGAAGAAGAAAAGGAAAAAAGAAGAAGTGATGAAAAAGAGGAAAAAGGAAGAAAGAAAATAAAGAAGGAAGAAGAAAAAAGGAAGTTCAGAAAGAAGAGAAGAAGAAGAAGAAGAAGAAGAAGGAGAAGAAGAAGAAGAAACTGAAATGAAAAGAAAAGGAAAGCAACCGATTTACTGATGAAAAAGAGGAAAATAAATAATAATAATAATAATAATAATAATAAGCAGCAGAAGAAGAAGAAGAAGAAGAAGAAGAAGAAGAAGAAGAAGTGGAGGAAGAAGAAGAACTTGCTGAATAGGTAGTTCGAAAGAAGAGAAGGAAGTGAAGAAAAGGAGGAAACTGATTTACTGATGAAAAAGAGGAAATATAGCTACAATAATAATAATAATAATAATAATAATAAGCAGCAGCAGCAGAAGAAGAAGAAGAAGAAGAAGAAGAAGAAGTGGAGGAAGAAGAAGAACTTGCTGAATAGGTAGTTCGAAAGAAGAGAAAAGGAAGTGAAGAAAAGGAGTAACCGATTTACTGATGAAAAAGAGGAAATATAGAAACAAATAATAATAATAATAATAATAATAATAAAGCAGCAGCACAGAAGAAGAAGAAGAAGAAGAAGAAGAAGTGGAGGAAGAAGAAAACTTTTGAATAGGTAGTTCGAAAGAAGAGAAAAGGAAGTGAAGAAAAGGAGTAACTGATTTACTGATGAAAAAGAGGAAATATAAGCTACAATAATAATAATAAAAATAATAATAAGAAGAAACAGCAGCAGAAGAAGAAGAAGAAGAAGAAGAAGAAGAAGAAGAAGTGGAGGAAGAAGAAGAACTTGCTGAATAGGTAGTTCGAAAAAGAAGAGAAAAGGAAGTGAAGAAAAGGAGTAAACTGATTTACTGATGAAAAAGAGGAAATATAATACAATAATAATAATAATAATAATTTTAGCAAAGCAGCAGCAGCAGCAGAAGAAGAAGAAGAAGAAGAAGAAGAAGAAGAAAAAGTGGAGATGAAAAAGAAGAACTTGCTGAATAGGTAGCAGGAGAAAGAAGAGAAAAGGAAGAAGAAGAAAAGGAGTAAACTGATTTACTGATGAAAAAAGAGGAAAAGAAGAAATAATGAAAAGAAGCAGCAGCAGCAGAAGAAGAAGAAGAAGAAGAAGTCTGAGGAGGAAGAAGAAGAACTGGCTGAATAGGTAGAATTAGTTCGAAAGAAGAGAAAAGGAAGGAAGAAAAGGAGTAAACTGATTTACTGATGAAAAAGAGGAAATATAGCAACAATAATAATAATAATAATAATAATAATAAGCAGCAGCAGCAGAAGAAGAAGAAGAAGAAGAAGAAGAAGTGGAGGAAGAAGAAGAACTTGCTGAATAGGTAGTTCGAAAAGAAGAGAAAAGGAAGTGAAGAAAAGGAGTAACCGATTTACTGATGAAAAGAGGAAATATAGCTACAATAATACAATAATAATAATAATAATCAGAAGCAGCAGCAGCAGCAGAAGAAGAAGAAGAAGAAGAAGAAGAATTTGGAGGAAGAAGAAGAACTTGTTGAATAGGTAGTTCGAAAGAAGAGAAAAGGAAGTGAAGAAAAGGAGTAACTGATTTACTGATGAAAAGAGGAAATATAGCTACAATAATAATAATAATAATAATAATAATAGCAGAAGAAGCAGAAGAAGAAGAAGAAGTGGAGGAAGAAGAAGTAGTTGGGAAAAGAAAAGAAGAAAAGAAGAAGAAGTGGAGGAAGAAGAAGAACTTTTGAATAATAAGTTCGAAAGAAGAGAAAAGGAAGAAGAAGAAAAGGAGGAAGAAGAAGAACTGATTTACTGATGAAAAAGAGGAAGAAATATAGATTTAAAATAAAAAGGAAATAATAATAATAATAATCTGAACAGCAGCAGCAGAAGAAGAAGAAGAAGAAGAAGAAGAAGTGGAGGAAGAAGAAGAACTTGCTGAATAGGTAGTTTGAAAGAAGAAAAAGGAAGTGAAGAAAAGGTAAACTGATTTACTGATGAAAAAGAGGAAATATATAGCAATAATAATAATAATAATAATAATAATAATAAAGCAGCAGAAGAAGAAGAAGAAGAAGAAGAAGAAGAAGTGGAGGAAGAAGAAGAACTTGCTGAATAGGTAGTTCGAAAAGAAGAGAAAAGGAAGTGAAGAAAAGGACCCAAAACTGATTTACTGATGAAAAAAGAGGAAATATAGCTACAATAATAATAATAATAATAATAATAAGAAGAAAGCAGCAGCAGCAGAAGAAGAAGAAGAAGAAGAAGAAGAAGAAGAAGTGGAGGAAGAAGAAGAACTTGCTGAATAGGTAGTTCAGAAAGAAGAAAAAGGAAGTGAAGAAAAGGAGTAACTGATTTACTGATGAAAAGAGGAAATATAGCTACAATAATAACAATAATAATAATAATAATAATAAGCAGCAGCAGAAGAAGAAGAAGAAGAAGAAGAAGAAGTGGAGGAAGAAGAAGAACTTTGCTGAATAGGTAGTTCGAAAGAAGAAAAAGGAAGTGAAGAAAAGGAAGAATTGATGAAAAAAACTGAAACAAATAGGTAATAATAATTTTCAAAATAAGCAGCCCAGAAGAAGAAAAGAAGAAGAAGAAGAAGGAGGAAGAAGAAAACTGAATTTAGAAAGAAGAAAAAAGGAAGGAAGAAAAGGAGCTATTTGATTTACTGATGAATAAGGAAATATATAATAATAATAATAATAATAATAATAAGCAGCAGCAGCAGCAGAAGAAGAAGAAGAAGAAGAAGAAGAAGAAGTGGAGGAAGAAGACTTGCTGAATAGGTAGTTGAAAGAAGAGAAAAGGTAGAAGAAAAACGCAAAAGAAGAGAAAAAGAGGAAATGAAGAAAAGGATAATAAAATAATGCAGCAGCAGCAGAAGAAGAAAAAGAGAAGAAGAAGAAGTGGAGGGAAGAAGAAGAATCTGAATAGGTAGTTCGAAAAGAGAAAAGGAAGTGAAGAAAGGTAACTGATTTACTGATAAAAAGAGCAGAAGAAGAAGAAGAAGAAGAAGAAGAAGAAGAAGAAGAAGAAGAAGAAGTGGAGGAAGAAGAAGGAGGAAGAAGAAGAACTTGCTGAATAGGTAGTTACGTAAAAAAAAGAGAAAAGGAAGTGAAGAAAAGGAGTAAACTGATTTATAGTTGATGAAAAAGAGGAAATATAGCTACAAGGAAATAATAATAATAATAATAATAACAAGCAGCAGCAGCAGAAGAAGAAGAAGAAGAAGAAGAAGAAGAAGTGGAGGAAGAAGAAGAACTTTGAATAGGTAGTTTGAAAAAGAGAAAAGAAGAAGAAAAGGAACTGAAGAAAAAGGAAGTAAGCTACAATAATAACAATAATGGTTTTTTTTAAGCAGCAGCAGCAGAAGAAGAAGAAGAAGAAAAGAAGAAGGAGGAAGAAGAAGAACTTGCTGACAAGGTAGTTCGAAAGAAGAGAAAAGAAAGTGAAGAAAATAACTGATTTACTGATGAAAAAGAGGAAATAGAAGCTTAATAATAACAACAATAATAATAATAAGCAGCAGCAGAAGCAGAAGAAGAAGAAGAAGAAGAAGAAGAAGAAGAAGTGGAGGAAGAAGAAGAACATGTTGAATAGGTAGTTCGAAAGAAGAAAAAGGAAGTGCTTTAAAAACTGATTTACTGATGAAAAGAGGAAATATAAAGCAATAATAATAATAATAATAATAAGCAGCAGCAGCAGCAGAAGAAGAAGAAGAAGAAGAAGAAGAAGAAGAAGGAGGAAGAAGAAGAACTTGTTGAATAGGTAGTCGAAAGAAGAGAAAAGGAAGTGAAGAAAAGGAGTAACCGATTTACTGATGAAAAAGAGGAAATATAGCTACAATAATAATAATAATAATAATAATAATAAGCAGCAGCAGCAGAAGAAGAAGAAGAAGAAGAAGAAGAAGAAGAAGTGGAGGAAGAAGAAGAACTTGCTGAATAGGTAGTTCGAAAGAAGAGAAAAGGAAGTGAAGAAAAGGAGTAACCGATTTACTGATGAAAAAGAGGAAATATAGCTACAATAATAATAATAATAATAATAATAATAATAAGCAGCAGCAGCAGAAGAAGAAGAAGAAGAAGAAGAAGAAGTGGAGGAAGAAGAAGAACTTGCTGAATAGGTAGTTCGAAAGAAGAGAAAAGGAAGTGAAGAAAAGGAGTAACCGATTTACTGATGAAAAAGAGGAAATATAGCTACAATAATAATAATAATAATAATAATAACAAACAAGCAGCAGCAGAAGAAGAAGAAGAAGAAGAAGAAGAAGAAGTGGAGGAAGAAGAAGAACTTGCTGAATAGGTAGTTCGAAAAGAAGAGAAAAGGAAGTGAAGAAAAAACTGATTTACTGATGAAAAAGAGGAAATATAGCCAATAATAATAATAATAATTAATAAGATAAGCAGCAGCAGCAGAAGAAGAAGAAGAAGAAGAAGAAGAAGAAGTGGAGGAAGAAGAAGAACTTGCTGAATAGGTAGTTCGAAAGAAGAGAAAAGGAAGTGAAGAAAAGGAGTAACCGATTTACTGATGAAAAAGAGGAAATATAGCTACAATAATAATAATAATAATAATAATAAGCAGCAGCAGCAGAAGAAGAAGAAGAAGAAGAAGAAGAAGAAGAAGTGGAGGAAGAAGAAGAACTTGCTGAATAGGTAGTTCGAAAGAAGAGAAAAGGAAGAAGAAAAGGAGTAAACGATTTACTGATGAAAAGAGGAAATATAGCTACAATAATAATAATAATAATAATAATAATAATAAGCAGCAGCAGCAGAAGAAGAAGAAGAAGAAGAAGAAGAAGTGGAGGAAGAAGAAGAACTTGCTGAATAGGTAGTTCGAAAGAAGAGAAAAGGAAGTGAAGAAAAGGAGTAACCGATTTACTGATGAAAAAGAGGAAATATAGCTACAATAATAATAATAATAATAATAAGCAGCAGCAGCAGCAGAAGAAGAAGAAGAAGAAGAAGAAGAAGAAGTGGAGGAAGAAGAAGAACTTGCTGAATAGGTAGTTCGAAAGAAGAGAAAAGGAAGAACCGATTTACTGATGAAAAGAGGAAAATACAATAATAATAATAATAATAAAAAAATAATAATAAAAGAAGAAGAAGAAGAAGAAGAAGAAGAAGAAGAAGAGTGGAGGAAGATGAAGAACTTGCTGAATAGGTAGTTCGAAAGAAGAGAAAAGGAAGTGAAGAAAAGGAGTAACCGATTTACTGATGAAAAAGAGGAAATATAGCTACAATAATAATAATAATAATAATAATAATAATAATAAGCAGCAGCAGCAGAAGAAGAAGAAGAAGAAGAAGAAGAAGTGGAGGAAGAAGAAGAACTTGCTGAATAGGTAGTTCGAAAGTAGAGAAAAGCAAGTGAAGAAAAGGAGTAACCGATTTAGTGATGAAAAAGAGGAAATATAGCTACAATAATAATAATAATAATAATAATAATAATAAGCAGCAGCAGCAGAAGAAGAAGAAGAAGAAGAAGTGGAGGAAGAAGAAGAACTTGCTGAATAGGTAGTTCGAAAAGAAGAGAAAAAAGAAGAAGAAAAGGAAATGAAGAAAAGGAGAAGAAGTGGAGGAAGAAGAAGAATTTACTGATGAAAAAGTGGAAATTTATAGCAACAATAATAATAATAATAATAAGCAGCAGCAGCAGCAGCAGAAGAAGAAGAAGAAGAAGAAGAAGAAGAAGATATTAATTGATTTTAGTGTCCGGTGTACATGGAACAAAATTTAGTATCTTGTTGTGTATAACAGTGCTACGTCTTAGATGCAAGCAATTATCCGGGGAAAAAAACGATCGGAACTGCGACTTAGTCCTCACGATCTGCGTAGACTTCGTTGCAAGACGTGAGAGAAGAGCATAGAGTAACAAACAAGAAAGCAAATAACATTTTGTTTCCGATTTGACCGGAGCGTGTGGAGACCTTACTGGAATGATTGTTGTTAATCAAAACTTGTACACGCCATTCTTTCGTGACTAACCATTGCGCACGCCAAACGAGGAAAAAGATTCGATTGGTTATTTGGGGAAGGAACGCGGCCGCCAAAGAAGCTGGTAGGTGAAAAAGAAAACAAAAAAAAAAATGTAGTGAGCATATGGAAGGGTTTGGGAGAAAATGTCAGGGGAAATAGTTGATTAGTCAGTTTGTTATATATTTTTATATGTTGAATAAATTGAGAGAGCTTGATAGATAGATAGATAGATATGAATAATCCGAGATAGATAGATAGATAGATAGATAGATAGATATATAGATAGATAGATAAATATGAATAAATGGTTTAGATAGGGACAGGTTAAGATATATAATATAAAAAGAATAGATAGATAGATATTGATAGATAGATATGAATAGATGGATATGGATAGATAGATAGATAGATATGAATAAATGGTTTAGATAGGGACAGGTTAAGATATATAATATAAAAAGAATAGTAGATAGATAGATAGATAGATAGATAAATAGATATATATGAATAAATGGTTTAGATAGGGACAGGTTAAGATATATAATATAAAAAGAATAGTAGATAGATAGATAGATAGATAGATAGATAGATAGATAGATAGATAGATATGAATAAATGGTTTAGATAGGGACAGGTTAAGATATATAATATAAAAAGAATAGTAGATAGATAGATATGAATAAATAGTTTAGATAATGACTGGTTAATATATATATATATATATATATATATATATATATATATATATATATACATAGTAAAAGAAGAATAGATAGTTATAAAAATAGGGATTATAGATACATAGATAGATAAATAGAAAGATAATATTTAAAACCATCCAGATAAACATGGACTAAATAAGAGACTAAAATAGATAGATAGATAGATAGATAGATAGACATTAATAAATGGTTTTAGATATGGGCAGGTTAAAATATATATATGAAGAATAGATATATAGATATCATTTCAAACCATCCAGATAGATATGAGGAGATTGAGATAGATAGATTGATAAGAGAGATAGAGAGATAGATACGTTTTTCTTAAAAGCATCCAAATCGATATGAAGCGATTAATATAGATTTTGTTTAAAACCACCAGATAGGATTAGCTAGTCAATACTTGTTGCAGACTCCTGCTCAGTCATACTTATGGCTGATCAACACCCCAAAATCTCACCTATATTTTATATACTGAGAGATATAAACAGAATTGGGTAGATAGATAGATATGAATAAGTGGTTTTAGATAGGGGCAGATTAAGATATATCTCTCTCTATCTCTCAATATATATATATATATAATATAATATAAAAATAATTATAACCATGGAATATTAGTGTTTGACACTAATATTCCATGGTTATAATTTATTACATTGGAATCGTAATCACGATCCAATTCATCAGACCTACAAATATATATATATATATATATATATATATATATATATATATATATATATATTAAAAAGGAATAAGTAGATCGATCGATTGATAGATATAAAAGAATAGAGTCGATAGATACATAGAAAGTGAATAGGATAGGATAGGATCTATAGGATATATATATATATATATATATATATATATATATATATATATATATATATATATATATATATATATAGAGAGAGAGAGAGAGAGAGAGAGATTCTACAGCTTTCAATTTTATTCCGATATCTTGATTTGCCTGGGGTCATGGATAGTGGCTCATAATGAGGAAGCGTAGAGCCTAGTTCGAATTCTGTCTGGTTCTTTATATTCTCTTAAGCGTAAATATCCTTGGAAAAGGTATGAATACATCTCCGACCCCAAACTACAGGTTAAATAGTAGATCATTGTTATTCTAAAAAAAACTGTTAATACAATATTCTCTCGCAAAAAATTACAACCCGAAATATGTTTCAGATTTAAGTAACCAACAAAAGGTTGATAAACCGTAAAAAACATTATTTGTTTGCGCATTAACATGGCTAACCTCTGGATACCTATTAATCCAAACGCTGAATACTGTTGAAGAAGTTTATATCAGTCAATATTTTTTTTTTTTTTTATAGGAAACGGCCAATATTACCATCACCATTATTACAAGATGGACGACTGGAGCCATTTCGTAAAGTTATTGAGAAATAAATTGCTGATATTGTAAAAGAGGGGTTAAAATATCCTTGGGGATGAGCTATAGCTATTTTATACCTCGAGGTATAAAGTATGTTCGTCCTAGTGATACCTTGGAAGTTATTCTAGACTGAGTCTAAACAAGATCCGGCTATATTTTGGGAAACTATACTCGAGTATAATCTGGGAAGGGACGGGGTTAATCTAGGCTGCTACAACGGAAGTAGTTAAGTCAATATATAATGTGATATAATATCAGTATAAGTCTAGACCGCATGTTTCTTTAGTGACCAGGCAAACACTGTTACAGCTAGGCAGGAAAGTTTTCACTCATCAGTCATGCTCACTAGATATTACACATTTCGTTTGTAAACTTGTTTATACCGGAACAATGTTAAATGATAAAGCAGAAAAAAAAATCGATATACCAGAAGAAGATTTATATAAGAGAACAAAAAGAAAAAGTAGCGACTTAATTTATATAACAGAACAATATTTAGGAAAACAAATGACAAAGTAGCAAAAAAAAAAAAAAAAGAAAAAAAAGAATATCACCCTAGAATAACCCAAACTTTATGGTCTATCTAAAACCCACTCCAGCAGGCATTACGGTGCGTTCCATTATATCAGGTATTAGTAGCACTGCCTATAAACTTTCAGAAACCCTAACAAAAAAATGTTAACACCTCTTCTTGGAACAATCAGTGTATCACATATTAAAGGTTCAGGTAAACTTGTCAAAAAACTAAGAGGAACAAAGATATAGTCATGCCTTATATAGATGTTAAATCCCTTTATACCAGATTAGGGCCATATCCCGTAGAAACATTGGTTCCCGTACGATCACCGAAGTTAAGTAGTGTTGAGTCTACTCTAGAAGGGGGAACAATTCGAAAATACCAGGTGCTATAAGCTTGGATGTGCGGGTGGTGTAACGGATATTGGCTCGAAATTGTAAATCTGAGAGGTGAGTTCCAATTCCAGCTGAATTCGTTATATTCAATTAAGTGCAAATACTTTTGGGAAAATTACGAATCCTCCTTCTTGTACCCCAGCTATGGATTAATTAGCAATAATTGTACCACTAAAACCATTATTATTTCAAAAAAATAAATAAACAAAAAATAAACTTCTGCATAAAATATTTCGATTTCGGTATTAAATAACCCATAGAAGTGTTAAACAAAAAGAACCAATATTTTGTACTAACGTTTCTGTTAACAAATGCTTACTTTTTAAGGAAACACTCTAACACGATCGAAAATAAACCTCACTCTAACAATGGCTAAAATCATAAAAGTCTGTCGACTCAGCACAAATGAATGCTATTACACCCATAATAATAATTTTCATAAATAACATTTTTCATTATCAATGGCGATTTAGCATGTGTTTTCTAATCCCTTCTTGAGTTGCATCCTTTCCAGAGTATTTTACTTAAACAATATATATATATATATATACGGAACCGTCATATAGCCTGACGTGCTTTACCGATTGAGCCACAGAGGAGTGTTTCGGTTACCAAGGTCGATTTCACTGTTTTTAAACTACAATTCTCCATGATTTTCTCTCGTACATTCATATCTGCTCGATGCGTATCCAAATGTAAATAAATGACGTCACACATTATGAAATGGACAAAGCCCGACAATTATTTTAAGACATTTTTATGTTTATACGTTCTTTTTTTTAAATAGATACACATATTTAAGTAAATGCTCTGTTTATAATAAACAGTATTAACGACATTTACCGGTCTGAATGTCGTTAATACTGTTTATTATAAACAGAGCATTTACTTAAGTATATGTATCTATTTTAAAAAAAAGAAAGTCAAACCAACCAGTCCGACAATTATTTTAAGACATTTTTTATGTTTATACGCGATGTTTTTTTTTTCAAGGTACAAATGTTTAAGTAAATGCTCTATTTATAATAAACAGTATTAACGACGTTCAGATCAGTAAATGTCGTTAATACTGCTTATTATAAACAGAGCATTTACTTAAATATTTGTATCTATTAAAAAAAGAGCGTATAAACAAAAAATATCTGAAAATAATTGTCGGACTTTGTCCATTTCATAATGTGTGACGTCATTTATTTACATTTGGATACGCATCGAGCAGATATGAATGTACGAGAGAAAATCATGGAGAATTGTAGTTTAAAAACAATAAAATCGACCTTGCTAACCGAAACGCTCCTTTGTGGCCCAATCATATATATTTATATAATATATTTATTATGCTCTTTTTATATATCTTCTCAAAAACTACATTACGCGACCGTGTAGATAAACTAAACAAAGAATAAAATACTTTTTTTCCCTTTCCTAGAGATCATCTTACACCGTATTGACAATAACCTAAAACGAAGTTTACATCGCAAATCAACTAGTAAAAATGATCTCATAAATTTCTATTCTCAAAATAGTGACAAAATAAGATCCTGAATCAGGTTCTATTTCAAAATTTTTTTTTTCAATATTTATATGAATTTATATAAATTGAAAATACTTTTAAGCTTCCACAATACTCTAATCATTTCATATTGAATGCGAAACAGAAAGCTCGTACAATATTCTAAAATACAAGAATGATCTTTTCTGAAAAACCCAACGAATCAAGATATGTTATTCTACTCACCAACTCTATAACAGCTACAATTGAAACTACTCCTAAAACAATAAATAACTTAACACAAAACAAAATAATAATAACCTAAAACTTCAAGTAGAAATTTTATTTATAACATGTAATGATTGCCACAAGAAATACATCGAAGAAACC